TGATTTAGGCCTTCTACAAAATACTTTATGATTCTTATTAATGAATACTAACAACAAACCCAGGTTTGACTAAAAAGTAGCAAAACAGGGTGGCTGGTAGAATCTGTCTCACTACATCATAGTCACACATTATCTTTGAGAAAAACAAATGAGCACCATATAAATAGGTAACTGTGTGTCTGTGTAAACTCAATTTTTAAGGTGTAATAGCAGCCAACTAGATCAGTTAGCATGTGACTCACACTTTTTAAACATTCTGATATACAAAATTTTAATCAAAACAGATGAACACTTCAATCTCCTATTGCTTGTCCACTTTTAAAATCCTTAATAGAAATTCTGTATATAACCTGACAAACTGTATACATATGTGTATACACACACAAAGTGTATGTATACATACATATATATATATATCTTTAGCTTTGAATCAATTTCTAAACTGAGATGAAGCTAAACTTCTCATTTAAATATATCTGTAGAATATAGTATCACAACTGAAAATTCCTAATACAAATTTCATCTCAGCTAATCAGAAATACTGGCTACTGAAAATTCTGAGGTTAAGCTGTTACTCAGCTTAGCATATTCCAAGTTTACAAATTAGTAAAACGAGACAGAAATCACCAATTGCCCATCAAAGAAATAAATTTTTTCTCTTGGTATTTCCTTCTACTAGCAGACAGAAAGTATCTTTACAATGAGCTTTAACTTTGTAAAGAGTCAAAATTATTACAGAAATCTCACTAGTCTTCAAAAATACTAAACGTTATATAAATACAATTTTCTTATAGTTGAATTCTTCAGCTAGAATCTGTATTTTAAAAATTTCCTTTGGATTGTTCCATTTAGTACTTCAAGTTTCTATTCTGTGACTCTGAAAACTGGCTCAGATTTGTTAGGTTTATATCAACCACATCTTTCAGAATTTGCTACTGCGTGTTGTCTGTGTACAATAAAATAAATGGAAGGAAGTGTACCAAATTTCAAAAGCAACATAATGAAAAATTCAAGAATATGCAATATAAAAAAAGTACAACAGGGATTCCCTTTTCACCATTACATTGGTGAAACATAATCCTTTTTTGTTTTTAAAGCTAATGTCATAACTTTCATTTTTTAACCTAGAAGATGAAGTTTTTAGATGGCCTATCTTTACTTTTCAATCAAAAAACTAAAACAATAGACTGAATTACTTTTATTAATATACACATCAAGTTGTTGAAACAGTGATTTCTTGTAGTTTTCCCCTTAAAGATGGCACTTGCAGGTACAAAGATGTGGAGATGTCTACAGCCTTCAGATGTTTACTTGAAAAGATTCTTCAACAGCAGTTTGATATTGGGTTTCCTCATCTAGCTGAAGATTCTAAAAACAACATTAAAATGTCAACAGGAAAAATATAACTCAACTACTCAGTACTTTGCCCCATACATTACACTTCTTGATACACATTATACACACTCAAGACAGTTTAAGTAAAACATCCAGTATCCTTTAAAATATAAGATTTAGCCAGGGATGGTGGTGCAAGCCTATAATCCCAGCTACTTGGAAGGCTGAGGCAGGAGGATCACTTGAGCCCAGGAGCTCAAGACCAGGTTGGGGCGCACGCAGAGCGGGGCACGCTCGTGCGCAGGGGATGCACGGAGGGACAAGGCAGAGCAGCGGAGCCGCCGTTAGGTCCCTCTCGGTCCACGCCGCCCGTCGCGCCACCCGCCCGTCTGTCCGTCCGCTGCCGCCATGGGAGTGCAGGTGGATACCATCTCCCCTGGAGACGGGCGCACCTTCCCGATGTGCAGCCAGACCTGCATGGTGCACTACACAGGGATGCTTGAAGATAGAAATCTGATTCCTCCCGGGACAGAAACAAGCCCTTTAAGTTTATGCTAGGCAAGCAGGAGGTGATCCGAGGCTGGGAAGAAGTTGCCCAGATGAGTGTGGGTCAGAAAGCCAAACTGACTGTATCTCCAGACTATGCGTATGGTGCTACTGGGCACCCAGGCATCATCCCACCACATGCTACTCTCATCTTTGACGTGGAGCTTCTGAAACTTGAATGACAAGAATGGCCTCCTCCCTTAGCTCCCTGTTCTTGGATTGGCCATGGAGGGATCTGGTACCTCCAGACGTGTGCACGTGAATCCATATGGAGCTTTTCCTGATGTTCCACTACACTCTGTATAAACTTCTACCCCGACTGAATGTGTTCTGTCGTTCAGCTTTGCTTCCGACACCTCCATTTCCCCTTCCCCTTTCTCCTTGTTATGTGTGTTTACCGAAACTATATGCCATAAACCTCAAGTTACTCATTTTGTTTTGTTTTCATTTTGGACTGAAGATTCAGTTTCAGTCTTTTGGACCTGGGTTTCCAATTAAGTATATGGTCAAGTATGAACAGGACAAGTTATGGGTTAGCTTTAGAATAGGAATTGGTGTTTTTTTTTGGGGGGGGGGTTGCAATAATCTTTATTTTTTTGGATGAAATTATTATCTATTATATATTAAACATTCTTGCTGCTGTGCTGCAAAGCCATAGCAGATTTGAGGCGCTGTTGAGGGCTGAATTATTCTCCAAGTTGAGAGATGTCCTTGGGTTAAATTAAAAGCTCTACCCAAAATTGAAGTGGGCGGGGGGAGAGCCTTTGCCTCCACCAGTCCCACCTCACCCTCCCCTTAAATCCTCTGCCTTTTCAAAGCAGGTCATTTTCACTGCGATGTTGGACACTACAGGTATCTGTCCCTGCGCCAGCAGGTACCTCCGAGGGCCTTCTTCCTGGACTGGCTTATTTTTTTTTTCCATCCTGTCGTTTTTCTAATGGACTTTCAGGAATTTTGTAATCTCATAACTTTACAAGCTCCACCACTTCCTAAAATTTAAGAACTTTAATAGAAAGTTTAAATTGAAGGTGCCGTTTGTAGACTTAACACCCAATGAAAGCCCAGCCATCATGACAAATTCTACTCTCAAGAAAATGATGCTGCTAGGCCGGGCG